GTTGTTTTTGTTTTGGAATAACATCGACATTGGCGAGTAGCAGAAGGAAAATATAATTCAGTGGTAGAGTCATGGAAGTAATAAACCCTTTGAAAGAGATGTTTGTCTACTCCAACTAAACCTCCCGCAAAAAATAGCAACAATTGCCTCTCGGAGACAACGTACCAGCACAAAGGAACGAGAAAGAAGTGCAAGAAAACAAATCAAGCTGCCATAATTCAGTGACAGCGGCAGTGTCTAATGTACAAACCACATCGCAAGCCGTGACCGAAGTCGAAAACCAGCAACATTTCTAAGCACAGTCCCAGACCACTGCATCACACCTTTTTGCTCGGACGCGCTCGTTTCACCGCCCAACCTTTATCCGCCCTGGTTTTATTGTATTGTTAAAAGCGCGTCTATGATTAAAGACCGTCATGAGATAAATGTTTTGTTTTTAAGAAGTGCTATCACATTGGCGCAATTAGGTTGACAATTTTATGCCACTAACAACAAAATTCATTGGGGCTGGAAGTCCAACTGTTAATGCATAAATTTATTCAAAAGCGTCAGTTCGAGAAGTTAAAAACAGATGTTGATGTGCAGATTTACTTCAATTTAAATGGCCACATCACATGTTTTGTTTTGCCATTAGAAGACCCAAGAACCCAGTGAGTACAAGGGTTAAGCTTCGATAACTTTTGCCTTCAAGGCCGTGGGATATCCAAACTACTGCAAGGTCGTCTTCAGCGCAAAAGATTTCTTCGCTCTTACTTCCTTTCCATTACTTCGGCCTTGATTCATTGTTTCATAAACCAACCGTTCATTAAATATTCCTGAATATTCTAACACCCTACATTCTAGGTTATTAAGCCTGCGTCGTTTATATTAAATTTCAGACTTTGAATCATGGCATTTCTTGGAAGCATACAGATTTTTCTAGTGATAGCCTGGATTACATGCTTTCATCACCACACATGCATTTTCATAAAGAATCATTCTACGCATTTAGTTCTAAACTATAAACATAAAACACTGAGAGACTTTAAGAAAGAAAGATTATTGTCTTTGAAGCGATGAAAAATAAGCGCTGATCACTCGGCCAGAATATAAGGAAAAACCGGGACCTCCTTAAATTTTGCCAGAGCACAATTCCCTTAGAACACTTTTGTTGAAATGTCTTTTCAAGAATATATTTTCGACGGAGGCTATAATTGGTCAAATACTTCATCATTTATACTACTACCTGAGAAATTTCTGCAATATGATTGGCTTGGAGCAGTGGCATGTGAAAATTACAAAACCTTTGCGGGAAGTAGTATAAACAAATAATAGCATGATTTGTGCGTGATATTTGGCATAAATACCACAGGTGATATTTCCATTTTAATATCACTCGTTCCGAGTACAAAAATTAAGCGAAACTTTATAGTCCAAATTATCAGTGTAGTCGGGAAAAATGGTACCGCTGAAGATATTTACTTTCCTTATGTGAAATTTTCTGTAAAATCTGGCCATCTGGTCATTGGTCAAATTGTGTTGTTGGCCTGGTTTTAAGGGTCAGTCGTCTACCAGAGCTACCCCAGGGGAGCTAACTTTCTCCACATTTCCTTACAACACTTGGCGGACTGTTTACATGAAAAGCAGAAAGTGTTCTCGACTAGAAGTTGTCTTGTTTGGTGGTAGAGTCACCCTCCAAGCCGGGGCCAACGTTTCATTATATCTGGCTCACCCAGCCGGGTCAAGTCGGTGAAGGCGAGACAGTCTAGGAATGCGCGAGAGCTGTTTTATACAAACTGAGCATGCGCGAGCGCTCTTAGCTCTGGTAAAGTGGCCATCTTTATTCTCATATAAACGCTCTCTAGGAGCCCTAGTCTATTCAAAATCACCAAAAGCGAAAGGCCACTTTTGTTGGTAGTTCTCTTTGGCCGCGACTTGTTCTTCAGTATAAAATAATATAATTTCAGTTGTCGACTTCCGATCCTTTGGTCTTAACCTAGTCATGCATAAATCAATCATTCCATTAATGTTCCGGAATATTCTGGCACCCTTCCCTGCACCGCTTTATAAAGGGCCCTGAAATTCTTATGTTTTGGATATAACCTGCGCTTATAATCAATTCTATTCCAATTTAATTTTCGTCCACTCCGACAAACAAATCTTACTGCTTTAAATTTGCTTTACATGTATTAGAAACATTACGAAATAGTGTGGTTTTTTCCAGTTCTTATACTGACGCCACGTCTATCTTGAAGCAGCTGCTATTGACGTTAGATGATAGAAAATAATAACTCTACGTATTAATAGATTATCAAGACATGTAAATGCTTGTCCACTAAGAAAGAAAAAAACCGGAATTTCATTTTGATAGTCTATTTTTGTTGATCTTAAAATAACGATTTCTGCTTTTATACAGAAAATATTTTCCGGAGATTTTCAACTTAATTTTTGAGACAGGTGTTGGAAATGGTCAAAAAAATCGTTCTCGGTCAGCTACTCTAGTGTGGAGACCCTATTTAAAGAGGAGAAAAGTTGAGTTTGTCTTTCAGCAAAGGAAAGTCTTGTGAATACTTTAGATTATGGATATGATCGACTATAAAGCATCAGAGCCAAACATATCAACAACTTTTTTCTTTTAACGTAAAACTTCACTCCGTGTATGAAATGGTTATATTTAAGCTTGAAAGGCTTCTGTTAACTAACTGAGCGCGATAATTTGCAAACTGTGGTGACGTCTAAATAGTGGGAGCGTCTGACACTAACTGAAATTTATTTTTCTAAAAAGCTGACAATTTAATATCGTTAGTTATGCCGATATTAAACCTTTGCTCAATTTTCGGCGGCCATTTATAAGAGAGTCTTCCAATTTATTTTTTTCGTGGGTGGAACAGTTTTGCATAAACAGATGCTCTTGTGGTCTGTTTAATGCTGCTCTATCACCCGCTGAAAATTATTAAACTTTTACAATGGGGTCATCATGTTACTAGTATATTTTCCTGCAACATTGACAGCTGAGCGTATTACAAAATTATTTAAAACAGAAAACAGATAGCTAGAAGGATTAATTACTGTGTTAATTAACCCACGTGGGACTTCGCGAGAACACTAGAAGGTCATAAAAACAAGTTTTGGACCATTACGAAGCAACACGGTGTTTCAATTATTTTTTTAATTGATAGGTGCTGTCTTTTCGCTGGTAAATAACAACTTCCCATCTGATTTATTAACAGGTAGCTTTGCGTTTGAGCTTAAGTATTCTATGGCAGTGCCAACAATTTTTATTCGATTCATTCTGGTTTACCTATTGAATTCGAGGGTTTGAAACGAAAATTATTAAAATGTTAACCAATGAGTAAGTTTTACTGAAACATTCTAGCTACCTGTGTTTTGCATACAGAATGTTCATTATACTGACTAGGTTGGTGTTTAATTGAAACCATCGCTTTGACTGACATAAGATTAATTGAGAAGTTTCGAATTCATATTATAGGACTCCAATTGACGTTACTTTACTTAATCGTGCCGACCACCATTTGTGACATTAAAAAGCGACGATCACACACTACCAGGTAAGTTTTTTTTTTCATATTGTCTTTTTTGTGGAGAAACTAGAATCTCGATGCAAGGTACTCTTCCCCTGCTTTGTTGCTTGCCAGCGTTTTTTCTTCGTTTTCTATGGCTGTTCACTTCGTTCTAGTTCAATGCAAACAGTTCATCAAACATTTCATAGCCCGAATCATACTATAAAGCATTCTTCACACTTCGTTTAAATTATGAGCACGGCTTACTGTTACGCAAACCACTGGAATTCCAACATCTATAATTTACCACACTAGCAATGACCCTAGTTTAAAAAACTATGAGGTAATGTTACACTTAAAGGCGTTTTTTAGAGCAACATGCACATTGTCCATTTTTCATGTTTGTTACACGGAACGGTTTTCTTGCGTAATGCGCAGGGGAAATCCATCAACAACAATCGACGTGTAACACGAGACATTTTTTAGCTCAAACATGAAAGGGCAAAAAAAAAAAGGTTCTAGAGAGGCGTTGGATGGAAAATTAAGACATGTATGTTGTACGAAAAATATTGCGCGTAATTTATGGGTGGCGTTGCAAGCTTTCTCAATTCAGTGGTCGTTCAAAAACTTAAAAGGCAAGAATTGTGCAAGATATCGTCGGGGCAACTGTGGTACACGACATAAACTTTTAACAAAACGTTGCTGAGTCACAAACAGTCTATTTGAATCGTCCTGACTAACATTTTCCGATGTCTTAATGCAGGTGGTTTTTTGCGAATGCGTTATCAACGATGACAATACTGCGAAACAAGTAAAGCGGTGATGTTGCCACAAAGAGAAACAGTACTGAAAACATACCGTTACCCATTGAATGTTGATCTATCTGGTGGATCGTGTTATTCACCCACATAGCAATTCAAATTTCCGACCGTTTTCTGTAGCTTTCTGGTGTTTCTCTATTACTGAGGACGGAAGTCGAAATTAAGCGAAAATTTAGTCTAAGTGGTAATTTTAAAAGTCCGGAAAATAGACCCCAACGTGCAAAACTACCGCTGAAAAAAAAAATTGTCACGGTCGCACTACAGGATTTTGCGCCATAGACTTAGGATTTACTAGAACTTGAGTTAAGGCTTGCGTTTCAACATCAACAGCCCAGTCAGCATCTTAATCTAAATCTTAAAAGGGGCATGGAATTGGTAAAAAAATCATTCATTTTTAACAGTAAGAGGTGCTCGCGTTGGTTTAACATGTACCTGATCATTTGATTTTTCAACAGCAGGCAAGCTTACTTTGACTTGAATGTTTTGAAGGGAGGAGATCCACTGTACAGAGCTTTTCAACGAAGCAACATTGCTTAACCATCGCCTACTGGTCTGGTGTAGAAAAATATCAGTCAAGTTGGTATCTTCGAAACAGGACAATCTGCAAATCGCTACCCAAACAGACACCTTACTGGAAAACACTTGAACTTAATACCTGGTTCTTGATAAATACTACATCATGGTGGAAATTACGTTGCTAATCCCATTTCTTGCCTTCTTATCATTTACTGCTGTCATATTTAACACTGTCGCGATTCTCGCGATACGAAGAACGTTAAGTTTATCAAAGAATTTTAAAATATTGCTCCTGAATCTGGCTGTAGCTGATGCTGGTGTTGGTTTAATATCACAACCGTTGAATCTTGCAATTTTCATTATGGAGAATGAAAATCATCACTTTAAATACTTGCCGGAATTAGAAAAGATCTACAATAGTACAAACAATTTACTTTCTGTTGCTTCGTTCCTTGGTGTTACCGCAATAGCTGCTGATAGATTCCTGGCAGTTTACCTTCATCTCAGATACGAGGAGCTTGTGACTAATAAACGTGTTGCCTCTGCAGTGGCCGCAATTTGGACGGTCAGCGTAATAATTGCACTACTTCAGGAGTGGGAAGAAAATATAGCCTTTGCTATCATGGCCACATTTTTCATCATTTGTCTCACTGTTATTGCATTATTTTACTTTAAGTTACATTTGGTTGTAAAATACCATACAGAGCAAATTATGGCCCAGCAAATACAATGCAGAGAAAATAATGACAAACTGGAATGGCTGAACGCTGAAAGGCAGAAAAGGTCTGCGGTTATGATATTCTTTGTATATCTTGCGCTTTTGATTTGCTATTTGCCAACCACAATTTTACATACCATTTATTCAGTAGGTATTGACAGTCCACCGATCTTTCAAGTTTTTGAAGTTATTTGTGACATACTATTTGTGCTAAATTCATCCCTTAACCCTCTAATTTATTGTTGGAAGATGAAGCATATTCGATATGCGGCCAAGGCCATACTGGGTTTTTGAGATCCCAATAGGAGGAAGCTTTCTTGGAAGCCTTATACAATAGGAAAAATGTCTTCTTGGGCAAAGCTGATTAAAAACTGTTATTTTTTTTAAATCAAAATAATAAGTTTGGGAGAATTTTTGAATGTTCAGTGACAAATGTCCTTGTCACTTATGTAACAATAAAGCACTTTTTTCGCGTAAATGTATTTAACATGAGGTTGGTAATTGAGAACATTATCTTCTCGTCTTCCGGTGGAGACAAGAACGCCTTTTTATACGGTCGCGCAGTACCTTCACTTCCTTCAGCATTGCAATCAAGCGCTCTATAGGTGGTTTTCATGCAATCTCGGGAGACACAAATAACAATGATGAAATGAACAAATGCTGGTGGAGAAACAAAGCGAGCTAATGAGCGATCTTTTGTTTACCGTCCACCAGCATGGCGGCGATGACGTAACGTGAAAACCACCTATTGACTGACTTAATCCTGCCCTAGGGCACGTAATTTACGCTTTAGCTAAAACCGAAGCACCTTTTTCTTTAGCTTGAGCGGCATTATTAAACGTATCAGCAGTAGGCAGTCTCTTTTCCTGCAATGTATTTTTAGTTGTCATCTTGTGAATAACAACAAATAATTGTATATTTTGTAATATATGATAAAGATCGAGGTAAAATGAAAACAAAAGGAAAAAAAAATGGACTAGGTGATAAATATAAATAGAACTAAAGTATATTTTGTTTGGCTAACAAAATGCTTATGTGATTCGGAAATTATTGATTCTAGAGCCAGTTGATCAAGTGGAATACTGGTGTACAGTAGGTGGTTTCACATCAAAAGACACTAGCTTCTGGTCGTCAGGCATTTGTATTGTCTTAATGGCGTCAATAAAGTTCTCATTAGACCGTAGTTTATCTCCATATTCAATAGTGTCGCCACTTACATTAGAGAAACCGGCAGAAACCTTAGCACACGACCCTGCACACGACTCACTGAACACAAACGAGCGACAAGAAATGATGACGTAATCAATCACATTTCTTAACCCGAGGGAAATTTGACCTCGGAGCCAACGCCAGTTGCCGTATCACAGCGTCTGGAGAAAGAAGGTATTTTGGACATGGCTCGAGGAAATGTTCATTTCCAGCAACATGCGTGGGGATATTTCGCTTTTAAGAGCGGATGTCAGTAAATATCGACCAGAGGTCTACAAAAGTGAAAAATCGAAAATTCTAAAAAATTCACAAAGTAGCTCTAGGTAAGCTGCTAACATTAATGTAATTTTAACTTCCATCCGATAATTATTTTAGACGCACGTGGGGTTATTGGTTTCAGGGCTCTCGGACCGGGTTTTACAGGACCGAGACGGCGTGTCACGAAAAAATCGTTTTAAAAATCAAATCAATTGTAATGCGAACAACAAATAACTTATTCAGAAAAGAACATAATTATATAAATTTTATGGGGTGATTGACTGAGTTTGAACGAAAATGTAATGTCTTGGAGATTTTTTATTATTTTCAATATTTTGAACGTTTTCGTCATGAAAAAATGGCAAATTTCAAAGCCCCAAATCGTCTACTGGTACCTCGATTTCACTAATAAAAGAGTCTCATACCACGTTTAAGAGCATTATCTCTTCTTTCAAAATCTGTTTTCAAAACTATGGGCAACTTAAAACGAAATTTTTGAGGCCAAAAATACAAGTATTACTTTTCTGATATTTGAGCTTTCCTCGCTGAGCGGGCCGAAGCTAAAAACTCGAAAAAAGTACTATAAGAAATCAGTTTGAGCAACAGTGGTTTGATGTTATCAGCTTTCAGAAACCAAGACGTGTTTATCCAGCGATCTGATATAATTTAAAAACCGTTTGCTCACAAGAAAGACAGATTTACGCCATCAACTCCTGCCAAGTGCGCGAGTCACGTAAGTTTGTCAAAGGACAAAGCGCTATAATAAACCAGCGAAACTTTAAAAATCACAACTTTTTGCGTCCAGGAATTGAATTTTACCGAAAAGAACAATGTCTATGAGTGTATGTTTCATACCTTAGCATGGGTTTCCTAGATATTGGAATTAAAAAACATCAAGGACAGCATCGGCAAGAGTATCTTTGTTTTCTCAAACGGCGACGGAGATTGTGTTACTTTTCACAGGTTGACCGCTTACTACCTGTTTTTGGCCTCGTATTTTGACGCAACACTTACGACTGGCATTGCGCGCGGTACTGATACTTTATGATCAAGTACTGAAATCTTCTTCGCGAGACATTTAACTGAATTTATGTTAAAAATGCTTTCAGGAAATAAAAAATATGTATTTTTCAAAGATCAGCTGTACGCACTGGCGTATGTGCCTATAAGGATACGCCCCTGCTAACTTAAGACCCGCCCTTATAAATGGGACAGTTAGCGTCCTATCCAAGAAGCGTTGCCAATCTGTTTTGTGTGTGATCTCATAGCATTTTTGTTTGCTTGTTTGTTTGTACACCGTTTCCTTAAAAGGTTTTAAAGGTTCATTTCTGGCGACGTTTCTCGAAATTCAGTTATCAGCACTGGCGATACGGCGGAGTTGGTACTGTGTAGAGTCCGAAAACTGAGAGTTTCTGTAAATACAAAATACGCCTTCCCCAGATACCTTAAAGCACCAAGGAGCTTTTATTTTCGTTACTTTCGCCAGTAGTTTTCAATTATTACACAAACATTATATTGCCTACCGGATTGCTCGTTGTCAGAAGCCCATAACCAGCTCCTGTGGTTGTGAATTTCTTCAAGGCCAAAAATTTCATTAAGAACCGAAAACAACAGCTAAAAGAAGGCACACAGTTTGAACTAAACAGGGAAAGAGGCTTCTGATTTTCTAAAATGTCATTGATGTACGGTTCAATTAGACTTTTTACTACCCCTTGGGCAACCACACAGACAAGTCCAGCCCTTCGGTCCATGGGGTGAGGAGTTGTTTGAAGCGGTCATGTCCCGGACTTTCGGGGGTAGTTGGCGGGGCAAATCGAAAATAACTTCTCTTTGTTTTTGTGTAGTACACCATTTCTCGCGAGGTTGACAAGGGGCGGCGGACTCCGTAGCTGTGAAAAGGTCCTTGTGACACATGTCCCGGCAACATACAGGGCATCACGTAATTGACAACACCTTGACTCAACTCCATGAACGGGGAGAGGCGATAAGTTCCATCATACCGTAAGTGATGCTTGATGTCCAGACGTGAGTAGTCTGTCCACAGACGTTTATCTTTTTGTTTTTGACAACGCGCGAGTGAACGGCAATTCAATTCAATTCTTTATTTCACACTACATAAGATATTTACACAAGTGTACATAGGTAGGAAAAAAAAGTAGCTGATAAATAATAATTAACTAAAAAACATTAAGTTTATTTGAGTACAGTGTCCAAAGTAGCAAAAGCTTTCTTGTTGGACACCGTCATGTTCAGATAATGGGCAGCAGAAAAGAGAGGAAATAAAATCTCAGATAATATCAGTGATAGAACATTTAACCAAGGTCAGATTTGGTTGGTTAGAAGATAGGACTTCCATTCTTTCTTAAACTACTCCACGGGCGAAGATGAAGATTAATTAATTTCCATTCCTGTTTATTTGACTCTTTTTGTTTTTAATAAAGTTGTTTAAAACGGTATCTCTCTTGTCTTTTTATTGCTAGCAATTATGAGTCGCGTGTTTTAATTGATGCTTGTTAAGTTATTTGTTTTATAATAATACGTCAAGGTTGCTCCCTTGAAATTTTTCCTATAGAGCTAATTTGTATTCAACTTTGGGCTTGTGAACTCGCATAATTAACTGATTAACAGCGCGTGAAAATGACAAGACTTTCATTTCCTCGAGATAGAAAGGAGAAAATGTCAGACAAACTTGAAATAAAGAGTTTTCAGCTCCAATTTGTGTATGTTTTGTTTATATATATCCGAGTTTTAGCGCTAAATTAGAAGACGTAAACTAAATTGAAATAAAGACTTTTCATCTCCACTTTCTGTATGTGTTTTGTTTATGTATATCTGAGTTTTAGCGCTAAATAAAATATAGGAAGGCCGTTTCTCGCGTTGCTAGGTGATCGCTTCTCTTATTTCTATTTTTCTTTTAATAGACGGTCCCGGGCTCAAGTTACTTACCGGGCAAGTCTAGGCAAGCCTATTGTTCCTATTGTAGTAGAGTGACGTTCATTGGTAAACCTATACCGAATTAGTATGCAGGAAGACACTGACTAGGCACTTAAATTAATACGGAGGAAAGCATTTTTTTCTCTAGGATAAAACAATGTTTGACGTCATAGACTCGACAGGGAAAGACACCAACGAGGCTTATCTTTCACATAGTATACTACTCACTAATGACCACCTTTTTTCATAGCAGTGGTGGCCCAATTTTTTGTTTGTTGTGCGCTTTTCGATTTCTTTTCACGGTGTTGCTTGTCAAGATGCTAGAAAAAGCATTTTATATAGCCAAACATGTTCTATTCCCCAAAAATGGTGTCACATAAGTCAGTCCATTTCCCCCCGCAATACTGGCCATGTCTCTACGATGGCCACCAAAGCAAATTTAGCCTACTATTGATAGTTGATAAGTTTTCTAACTGATTATTAATAGTAACCTTTTAACACGTGTGTGTAGCATTAGCAAAGTACTGGCTAAACAATTCTGTTTTCTTGCTAAAGTTTGAATTAGTATAAAATAAGACACTGGATAAAACTGCCCATTGCAAGCCTCCACACTCTTTTAAAGGCTTTCAGTCCAAAGCAACATCCTATTCAAAACAGTAAAAATTGTATATCCTGTTTAAGACTCAAGACCTTGAAAACCATACATTTTAAAGTGGCACATACGCTTATAGGCCAAATAAGGAAGCCCCCCCTCCCCCCAGGGCAAGGAACTCGCCTGGTGAAGATTGGGTAAGCTCAAGAAGGTACTCCGCATGGATAGTACAATAAAGCTTGTGCAAGAGATTGCTACCAAAATGAAAAATTTCCCCTGCTTTCAAATAGCTGTAAAACAA